GAGAACAATACGTTCTTCAAAAAGTCCTGAGGCTTGGTCATCATATCACTTGCCCACTTCTTTCGTCTGACTATGTTGGCAAGTCTTAATAAGGGCTTCCGTCTAGTTGCTCTGCAACGATAACCCAATCTGTGGAGAATCCGTTGAACAGACTTTGGGCTCATCCCACCAACTTTGGCCACTTCTGCAGTCGGTAATCTAGGATCCATTTCAATGTTCCTCTTGACAGCCCTTTTTGTCCTCTCCGATGGACCAGGATGACCTGGACACTGCTCAGTTGTTTCCTTGCCGTGTTTCCTGAACTGCACGATGATTCTGTTGACTGTCGAAAGTGGGATTCCCAAATTCTGCGAAATTTGCCGCTGACTTATTCCACCATCTGTTTGACCAACTATCCTTCCTCTAACAAAATCTGACATTTCGAGAGAACCTTGAGTTCTAGGCATGTTGTAGCACACGATAATTAGTGTGCGGACCATTTTCATTTATATAGTGCTCTGTGAACACAAATTAGTTAGCATAAATCAATTAAATGACGAAAAATTAGGTGTCTATTTACTTGTGATCACTCAGTGTACATCTGTACCTTACAGATGAACCTCTAGTACACAGGCTCAATAATGATGAAACAGTTCAAAGTACTTATCTTGTTGTTCAAGATAAGGAAATACTGAAGTTACAGGCTAAAGAGAATTCCAACAGTCAACCTAACATCACCCTCCTGATCGATATGAATGGGACTGGCCTACTTCCTACGTTAGGATGGTTTGTTGAACACAAGATTAATGGGACTTAAAGGGCTTAGCAACCTATACTTTCCAAGCTATCGAGCAATTTTACTATAGAAGATATCTACTGGGTGATAGCTGCTTCATTTATTAAGCTAGTATGGTCATTTAGTTGAAAAATCATGACTAAGAGGGCGTTATAACTTAAGCTTTCTGAGCTACTGGGTGAACGTTTTTGAGACTAATGGTCGTGTGGTGTATCGAAAGAATCGCTCACCTGATCTAGCCAAGCAACAAAAGCTGTATTGAGCATGCGATATGGTCCTCGCTGGATTCTCCATAGAACACCTGCATAATGTATGATGATTCTATACGGAGTGAAGGAGTTGTGTTTTCTCTGAGTGCGTGTTGATATACAGTAGTAACAGCAAAAATATTAATTATGGCTAATGAGAATTTTAGCTAAAAAGGCTTAGTTTGACTGAATTATGCCAGCTATTATCAATTTGTTTATGCTTGAAACGAAAAACTTCAGTTTGGTGGCTCCTCGTTGTTTGTTTATTTTAGAGCAAAGCTACATTGGGGTATCTGATGATATTTTCATCGCGGGGTATCGAATCCCGAATTTTGGTGTTGTAAGTCCGTAAACTTTCCACTGTCCCATAGGGGGAGTGTACAGTGAAATTATTTTGCTCGATTTCTGTTATAATATCGTGGCTGACAGTGATTTTTGGATACTGTTAATTGTACTTTCTGGTGAAGATTTTGAATCAAAGTTTCAGAAAATATCCCCACCCCATTGGCACAGCGGTATGTCTACGTACTTACAATAGTAGAAACCAGGTTTCGATAGCCATGGTGGGCAGAGCACAGATAGCCCATTGTGTAACTTTGTGCTTAACTTCAAAACCAACAACAACAACAGAAAATGTTTATATAATTGTAAAAAACGTGTTTCCTAATTTTCAAAAATTACAATACTTGTCACGTTCTTCCAGATTTTATTTAAGCTCCATTTGTATTCATTTATTGTATTTATCTCTATATCGCCAGTAGAATTTGCCATTCATTCCTATTGGAATACGGACAACCTGTAGTACCTCCGAAGTACCGCCATTTTGGAACAGTTTAAAACTGTTTGTTGAGCACAGCAAACAAACAGAATACGTTCCACGTTTGTGAGGTGGAAAAGTTTCGCAAATGAAATTGTCCAATTCTGTTCGGCCTCATAATATCATGCTTTTAGCGATATAATGTTTTTTTCATTAATATGTCTGTGAAACAAATTTATAGCGTTAGGTGTGATAAAATATATGTGTGAGAGAATATTTTTTCTCTACAAGTAATTATGTTATTAAAATTTGTTTTAAGATGAAAACTATTTTCATTTCTAAAAAGATCGAGTTTAGCGTTCAAGATAATAAAGACGTTTAACATAACAGATAGTGCCACATAATCTTCATGTTAAATTTTATTTCTAGTATTGACTTCTATAAAATAACGATTGTTATACTTGTACTAAAAATAAAATATGTTGATTTTGCTTAACCGTCCTATTATGCTCGGAAATTAGGAACGTCTGTCACGTTTTCAGTCATATACAATTTCAAACCAAATGTTGATTTGGTAAAATATTTTTTATTTGTATAGCCTTTATTCTTATGCTAAATATGAGAAATTATTGTAAAATTTCGTTATAATTAACCCATTATTTAATTTCACCATAACGTTATGGGATCTAGCGTCGGGTTAAAAGACCCGAAACATAATAGGAGAGTTAGCATATTGCTTGTTTGTTTGTAATTAAGCACAAACCTACACAATGGGCTATCTGTGCTCTGCCCACAACGGGTACCGAAACCTGGATTCTAGCGTTGTAAGTCCGCAGACATGCCGCTGTGCCACTGGGGGGGGGGGGCGGCTAGCATATTGCAGTTATTGAGTTGACTAACCTTTTCCAGCCCAAAGTACACCAATTACTTTAATAAAAGTGTTGTGCTGCTCACCAACTCCCCCCCCCCCGCACCTTATGAAAGCTCTGCCCAAAACACAACTTTTTGTCACCATATGAACTACAAAGTCATTAGAGCGTCGCGTGAATTACGGTTTCGCGCCTATACATAAAAATAACAACAAGACAGAACACAAAACCTTCGGTTCCTTCCACAAAACTAATTTACATAAACTATACATTTCGTTTATTTATTTTCTCATGTGTGACTTTTCCAAAATTATTCGGCACACCGGGTGGTAAGTTAGTGGGATCAGGTCCAACTTAATCTCATTTTTCAGTTCTCCATACAAATCCTAATTTCACAGGATTGGGTTTTACTTTTGAATTTCTAAAATTATAGTACTTGAACTAGAAATAAAAAAAAAATAGAAAAGACAATAATCGGATTCTGAGCACCACAACCAATTTGCATAGCTCAAGTGTTCCTCAAATTCTCTTTTGATTAACCAGTAAAGTAAAACACCGTGATGTAGGCTTATAACGAGGAATGGAAACTTGATAATATCAAAATATAATGGGCGGCTGCTACCCATATTTAGTTTTAATATTTTATTTATACAACTACTTTCAGAAGCTGTAATCAAGCAAATTAATAAGATGCCAATAGTCCATTAGGTAGCTAGAAAACTTCTACAAAAGATAGCTGACTTCTTCAAGCCCCTTACTGTGACTATGCTGTTAATAGATTATTGCAAAAACTTGTAATTAGAACACACATTGTAGTACAGTTGATGATGCGGGGTTCTGAAAAATGTCTTACTTGAATAAAACTGAAAATAATAAAATTATTATGTTTTATACGTAATTTTGTTTTTAATACATTCACATTTTAATAGAGGGGGCTGTAGTTCAGACAGGGAACGAACAATTATTCAGGAAACAGGTTGAAAATGGCAGCAACAACGTTAGAAGATAAGGCGATTTGGGATGATGGCGATGTAAGTTTTGATTTTCATTTGTGGAAATTATGCAAGAAAGAGTAAAAAATAAGTCAAAGATATATGTGAGTACTTGAGTGTATTATGTTTGGTAAACTAATACACAAATTCGTGGAATTGGAACTCGAGAAAACCGTGAATCAGCACTTTAGTCTTTACACAATTACTCAATTTACTGAATTAGTGTTAATGTTTATTTGATATAACATAAATTATATACTAATATTACTAGCTACTGTAGGTTATAATCGATAATATTATGCGTTACTTTTATCTCAAAATTTGGGCTTGTATTTCCTTAAAACTTTGACACGTATTTTATGTCACGCTCAGTGTCAACGCAGATGACCGACATAAAACAAATTAAAAAACGCAGGGGTCAGGGCGTGAAGGCCGAAGTACAAAAGTCATCGAAGTTCAATTTTTAATCAAATCACTGTGTTCCACATTTGTGCTGGTGATTTTAAGAAATCTAGTTTCTCTTCTATATATAACTTTAGTTGTAAATCTTTGTGATAGAATATTACACTCCATAACACCAATTTGTAGTTTTCAATTTCAATATAAAGATTACTTATCAAAACGCAGTTCAAGTTATTAATTCTTTTTCTGTTTAGGGAATACCACTTACTCAGTGACATCATTGTTTTAATGGGATAAAGTTATTAAATGCATGAACCTTTTTCATGCTTCAGTGTCAAAAATGAATTACTGATATAAAATAAGAGATGCATTGTTTTTGCTAGAGTGATTAAGAAATTAATATATATTTAATGGTAATGTAACTTGTAAGTAAACATGTTTTGACATGTGCAGCTGTTAAAAAAGTAATTTCCTCTTTAGTCAGTACAATGCAGAGTAGAAAGATCTATATGGCCACGTATTGTGTGTGTGTGTGAGAATTATTAAATTTTTGTTATTCATTTGAGTAAAAAAAAAACATTATGGCAGACTTAGAGTTTAGGCTTTGGATTAAGTAAGTGATAAAAAAAAATATAAAGCAGAACCAGAGTTAGAGTTTTGGGTATTTGTCTTGGTATGATTAAATAATTCTAAAATCTTGTATTTGTTTTTGCATTTCAAGTGCAGTCACCTGAATCACATTCATAGTATCAAATGATTCTCTAAGAAAAATTAGTTCAAAGTAGTTCTCTTAAGAGTAAGCTTTCTTAAGGCAAACTTAAAATAAGACAAAATAAACATCTCATTAACTGGATGACATGCTTTAATTTGACTTAACCGTATGAAAATATTTGGTCATACCGTATATTATTTGATGTGATGTCATTCTCAGTCTCATTTCATACTTTGATCTTTTAGGTTTAATCAGAAGAATTATATCCAGAAATAAAAAAAAACACTAAAATATGTGAAAAGCACAATGAATTCACTAGCTGTAACTTATATGTTATCTATGCTCTTGCTTATTGCAACAATACACAACCTCCATTGTAAACAGTGCTCCAGATAGCTAGCATGTTCCATAAAATGATACATTATATTTTGAGAGATATGGGCCATTTTTTATTTTACATGTATCAGTTAAGGATGTACTATGATACACTACAATATCAATTGACATGCCTACTGTTTTCACACTGTGCAAAATGACTATTTTTCCACATAGATGCTTGCATTGTGCTTAAAAAGAAAACATACCACTAGGAGTGTAACAATACATCAAACTATCAATAGATTGAGATTATGAACATCCTGATAGCAGTGCATTGATTGTAAATTTTAGAATTGATAACAATCTCTGATAGTACTCTCAACTACAGATGTTTTTGATAGTTTGCAAACTTGATTATTTTCCCCATTCTGTTTGTTTTAGTTAAGCCATTTTTCAGTAATTTCCCTTTGTTTTAGACTGGATTTAAGGTTTATTCACCTGTAAGCCTAAAAGTGCATATATCATGTTCACCATTGGCAGTGTTGCTCACACAATGGACCCAGCTTCAATTTGAGAATTAATGATTACTGTAATTCCAAATTTAACTTGTGCTTCTTCATGAAAATCGGCAATCTTTCAGTAAATGTGAACTGTTGTATACAAAAAAATCAGATTTTTTAAAATAAAGTATTTGCATGAAACATGAATTTCATGATAGGGATAACTCGTACCTATTTTCATTTTAAAGTTTTCATATTTTATTTGCATAATCTCTAGAACTTCCAAATTAGCATCAAAATACTTTTTTGTAACACTGTATATTTCTCTACACAAACAAACATACTTGAGGCTCATATTTTTGATGAAAATCTAGCAGTTGGTGTTATTACTGATCTGCAGATTTTTGTAAAACCAATAAACTCACCAAAATTTCAAATGATGCTGGGAAAAACACTGAAAACGAAGTGATGCTTGTGCTTAACAAAAATGATTTGGTACAAAATAAATGGCCTAGGTTCAAAGGCATATATAAAATATAAATTATGAACATTTATGTAAAAAAGTTATTAAACTACATGGTGATAAATTTTGTAATATGTCAATAGCTTTATGCTTTTATGTAACAAGCGTTAATTGTGAAAGTGCCTTTTCTGAACAAAACAGGCTAAAGACAAAATTCAGAACTCTTTGAAGGCTGAAAAGAACTGTTTGGTGAGAATTGTAATGTTAGGCCCAGAAATTTTTAGTTAAAATGTGGAACGGTGCTAAGAATAGAAGGTCGAGGCCTTCACAACCGTACAAACAAATAACTAAGAAAATAAATAAATGTGTAAATTGTGGGTATTTATTTTGAGTACTTTATTGAGGCCAAATATGCAATAAGATAATATTAACACATTCAAACTTTTATAAATGATTTAATCACTGCATAAACCAGCATACAGATGCTTGTCCATGATACTGAATTACTCCACCTTTGGCAGATACTGATAGAATAGAGGCAAAATTTGATCAGTACCATTCTTATCATGGCAAAAATCATCTGGAGCACTGATAAAGATTCAGTTACAATGCAATAAACCAAGTAAGGATAGTATTATAAAACAAAATTGCTATGCAATGTTTTTTTTTAGTGCAGTGAAGGGTTGACCTTGTATGTTTTGGATGGCTAAACATCATCAGAGGTTAAAATTCAATTACAGTTCCAGAACAGTTCTAGACATCTGGAGTTGGCTAAATTAAAGCTCAAAGAAATAAGAGTTGTTGAATTTCTTCATACATATTTTACATATACGTACATGCATGTACATCATCTTACTATAATGGATGTAGCTAGTGTATAAGTAACTGTCTGTGTACATGTCCTAAATAATAAATACAATGTGGTGCCATCTATTGAGCGGCACCACAAAAATCCATAAACAATTTCACACTTTGGGTATTCAAGATTCAGTCTATTAGAAAAATAACTATGGTATGTGTAACAACCAGTTCTTTATCACAGAACAGAAATTTAAATAAAATTACTCTCCTCACCCACACAACTTTCACTAGGACTGTATGTGAGGATTTGATTATATCTTTATTGATGTAATTTGTAAGTATGGTACTAAAAAGGGAGTTCTCAAAAAAACTTATTTTTTTCAATAAAGGGTACCACTTTTAATATATAAAAACATTATACTTTATATCAGCACAATCTGAACACTTTTTTTCCCATGAAGTACTTCCCAGAAAAACCCATTTTTCTAAATTTTTTCAATGATGTTTGAATACTACAATTAGTTATTACTAGTTCAAACAGTTGCCTGTAGGGTGGTGTTTCTGCTAGTACATTTTTAATCTAAGGACAATAAAGGACCTGTTGGTCTATCTAGGCTGTCCCATCCACTAAAATAAACTTCAAAATTATATTAACACACTCAAAGTGAGCCCTTGTAATTTAAATATCTATCAAGCCTTCTCTTAAACTTCCTTAGATTAACCACATCCCATTGCCAAAGCCAATCAACCTGTTAGAAAAATAAAGCTGTCTTAGCTGAAGATGACTACTACATTGCCAAAATTTATATTTGTGTCCCCTACTATTCTCACCATTAAGTATGAAAAAAGATGATGCATCAGCACTATCAATTTCCTTAACAATCTTAAGTGTCAAAATAAAATCCCCTCTAACTCTTCTTTTTACAAGAGAAGACAATTTCCAAAATTTTAACCTATCCTTGTATAGCAATCTTTCCATCCTAGTAGCCCTTCCATGAACTCTTTCCGATAATTCATCATCCTTTCTGAGGTAAGGAGCCTAATACTGAATACAGTATTCCAAATGTGGCCTAATCAGTAACCTATACAACAACATTATGACCTTTTTTGATTTGTATTCAGTTTCCTGTAGATATAACCTAAAATCCCTAGCATTAACAACAGGTCATTGCTTGGATGGCTTAAGAAACTGATCAACAAGAATATCAATATCTTTTTCTTCCATAACACTGTTAAGGTTATTCCTATAAGAATTATATTCATAATTCAAATTGTGATATTCCACATGCATTACCTTGCATTCATTATAATTAAAAGCCATCTTCCATTTATTCCCCTCAACTCATCAAATAATCCAAATCCTTTTGTAAAGCAGCAGCATCCTCCTCACAGCCAGCACCAAAACCTTAATATCATCAACAGATTAAAGTAGTTTATAGATCATTCCTTCACCTATGTCACTGATGTAAATCAAAAAGAGCAAAGGTCTTAACATTAAGCCCTGAGGTACCTCACTTATGACATTAATACAGCTTGACTGAACTCCATTTATAAAATACCTTCAGCTTTCTTCCATCCAGCCAGTTTTCTATCCAATGGATCAACATATCCACCACACCTACAGAGACAATTTTTTAACAAGCCTTTTATGTGGCACCTTGTCAAATGTTCTCTGAAGAATGTCAAAAAATTAGTAAGGCAAATTTTTTACCCTAGGGAAACCATGCTGACTATCCAACAAATTTTAAACCTTGTTAAATGATTTTGCAAAGCACATTTTATCAGAATTTTAAAAACTTTTCCCACCACTGATGTAAGACTAATAGGTTTATAATTACTTGGA